GAACGCCATGTTTATGTCTATGTTGTCAAAAAAAGGTATTCCGTATCCCGCGGAGAAAAAGCCCTCAGCTATCGCTTTACGTCATCCCCGCACTCCCACGTGACCCATATCTATACGGGAAATACATTCGAGGCAAAAGGTGAATCCATTTGTAGGTGACTGCATTTGGCAGACCTAGATCAGAGTGATTAATTCACTAGTGCCCCAAAAAAAGGCTGGCTTAACGCTAACAGTACATGTAGGGTGCCACTTGTGGCATACAGGTTGAAAGGGCGGTGGGTCGGTACATCCATTGTATATAGACGGAGCCGAGAGACAGTGAGCCGAAATTCGCCTGTTTGCATCTTATGATGAAGGCTGGCCTGCTGCACTTCAATCCCAAGTGACGTCCAATCAAGAAACATGTGGGCTGAGGTATCGAAATTTGAGTTCGTAACTTATTGAATCATTCAATTCCCCAGAGCTTCACAGTACGGTCATGGCCACAACTAGCAATCCACTTCGTGTCATCGCTGATATCCGTACTGAGGACATTGCCCGAGTGACCGCTCAGCGACTTAACTAGGGACCAGTCATCCGCGCTGAAGACATTGACATTCTTATCAAAGCCACTGCTGACGAAAAATGTACCCGACTTCTTCGGCTGGACCGGCGCATCTGGTGTATTAACTGATGCGGCACCATCGACGTCCATGTTCCCATCGGCAGAGGGCAAGAATGAAGCTGACTCTGCGCCCTTGTACCAGCGAAGATCAGACACCACACTTTTGTGTGCACCGATTCCCCCAGTACTTCTCACTTGGCGCAAGTCCCAGCATTTAACCCAGCCATCACCAGAGCCAGAGAGTACCCGGTACCCATCCACGCCCCAGTCTAAACCGTAGATCTCGCGAATGTGGCCTTCGAGGATCATCACTGTGCGCCCTGTTCGCAAATCCCAGATACGTCCGTTGCTGTCGTATCCACCACTGGCCAAAAGAGAGCCGTCGTTGTTGAATGAAACTGCATATACTTCTCGCGAATGACCCTCTTGCAGGAGCAGCTCTTGCGTCGTTTCAATATCCCACAGTCGCCACGTGGTATCGAACGATGCCGATGCTGCATATCGACCCGAGGGATGGAACTCTGTACGGCAGACACGTCCAGAGTGACCAGTTAGTGTGGCGAGCGGCTTGTCTTGATCAAGGGCCCAGAGATTGATATCTCCCTCGCCGCCTCCCGAAATCAAATTGACCGTTGATGGCGAGACATTAGAACTGGGGAGCGTGGCACCGGGAAACCATGCCAAACCACCCACACGGTCCGTATGGCCCTTGAAATTGGCCTTTTCTTCCAAGTTAGGTACTGTGAGTAGCTTGATACCACCACTCCAATTTCCAGCAGCGATTGTCTGGCCATCTGGCGAGAATCGACAAATGCTAACTGGCCGATCTCCCGCAATTTGAGACCCATACAGCTCAAATCCTTGCAATTTCTCCTTGACTGCTTTGCGATGTTTAACGTGCGTCCGAAGTGGAATTGTCGATTCATCTTTAAGCCGCGCAACTCGAGACTTTGCGCGGGGCAAAGAATAACGGGCAATGTCCTTGCGTGCTTTGAGCAAGGCGTCGGTGCCCTCTGTGTAGAATTCTTCTTGTTGTTCGACTTCATCCTCCGGCTGCGCTTCCTCCATTTCAATGTCTTCGCCTTGCTTATCCGCCATGTCGGTCAATAGTTCACGTAAGCGGTCCCGCCGATCAGAAGGACCCTCGCCAAATAGCGTAATGGGCTCGCCGAACTCTCGTAGCCGTGCGCGCACTCTCGTGTCGTCTGTGGGGACTACCATAGCTGCTGCTCGGCGTTTACGTTCGAATTGAGACAAAATGGCGGATGCCCGCTCGGTAGGAATACCCGCCGCGGAAGAGGGGAGGTCATAGTCTTGGTCGACCGCTATAGTTGAGCTTCCGTTAGCACATTGTCCATAGGAGAATTTTGAAGTCGCGACTTACGGAGATCGGCATAGCTGATGCCCATATCGGTGTCCTGTTTGCGATTGAAGTCAGCCGGTGATCGATGGAGGAGATGTAGGCGCGAAATATATCTGCTTTCCATGTCCATGTGGATGTGAGATTTTAATGTCGCGTACGCGCAAATTGAGCTCTTGTCTTTTGGG